AAACGTATGTTTTTATATGTATTTCTAACTATGTATATATTTTTCTAGATTAGGTAACGAAAAATTCAGTATAAAAAACGATGAGTCGATAAGTTTTGAGTAAAAATTTCATTAATTGATTTATTCAATAATATAATAATGTTTTTATTATTATTTATTATTATATTTATAAAGCACGTAAAGTTAATTTCGCACAACATGAGTTCTTTCAAATTTATTTCAACTTCCTAGAACGCGACGGTTTGATAAGAAATAAATGAACTTCTTCGTCTAGAAATCTAGTTTGAAAATTTGGTCGACCTTGTGGAAACACATATTAATGCATTATATTTGAAAATCCATTAATACACGTGCACTTAATCATGTTTCAACTAACAGATTTTCCTGTAAACTACTATTTCTGTTCGTGTGTTTGTTTCTAACGTGGAGATTCTCAGATGACTATCAATGCGAATTATGTATTTTCATTCATTAAAAATTCTATCTTTTTTATATCATACTACCGATTGCTGTAATTTGCCATTGCAAAAACTTGGCAGAAACTGATAGCTAAGCAAAAGAATATGATAAGAAACAAAACATAACATTGCCGATGTCTACAAATATAGAAATAGCATTCTATAGCAGTGCACGTGTACTTGATAGGGTTTCAAAATCGTTTATTTCGAAAACAAAGCCTCGCACGAGAAAAACTTGTTCTACAATTTCGACTTATTTTGGCATGAGAAATCATCTTGTTATCACTTGTACTACGATTTCGCACTCACTCTGTATACATACATATATATGTATACATACATACATATAAACGTATAACATATTCATCAAGCTGAAAGCATTTTTTAAGTATTGTAGAAAGTTTTAATTTTTTCCATTTATAAAATTTTTTGCATTTAATTAAAGTGCGATGACGGACTTATTCTAAAAGGCAAAACAAAATTTTTTTAGAATTTCATCAGTTGCGTATAGGTATATTGTGCTTTCTCGGAAATTACATGAAAAATTCATACAGAAACAGACATTTCTTATGCGTAATTCTAATAAAACGTGAGCTACTATTTGCGATTAGACGCTTAAGGGATCTACAACCGATCCATAGATCCCCACTTTCATCCATCATACTGTCAGTATTCCGAGTAAATGTAGTATAGGACTGGGGTCAAATGCAGTCTCTGCCGGGTCTGTGTGGCGAACGGAACGCTTGGCAAGTTCGTTGCATCGTGAAGTACATCCTACATAGTGCTTTTTCTCTCATACTCTATTAAAAAAACCGTCAGCATTGTTAAAAAATTATTTTAAAAAGTTGTAAAATTTTTGACAAAACTATTTCAAAAATGCGTGATATTGGTAAAGTTAATTAACAAAGTTATTTTAAATTCTGTAATAATAAAAAATTAAAAATTGAAATTTGATAAAATTTTTCTTATAACTAGATTTTTGGTTCCTTAGTTTGTTTCAAAATTTAAATTTATTAAAAATTTTTTATAAACAAAAAATTGTATATAAAATTAAAGTTTCTAATAAAAATAAAATTAAAATAATACAATACTATATAAAATGTGGAAGACAAAGGATACAAAATATTTATTATTTTATGTAAGAATATATAGGTACCTATTATGCGGAAGTGTCTCAAGGTTGAAAGTATGAGCACAGCTATTTTGATTAAATTATTATATCATCAAATTTAAATCACGTTATATGCTTTCTCTTTCAAAATAGAATTAAGTCAATCAAATGCTAATTTAAATCAAATTTCTGAAATTCATTCAAAATTTAATCAAATTGGAAATTATCATCGATTTTTAGCAAATCATAGATTTTCTAAATTCTATAAAAAAAAATGTAAAATTAAAAATCAAATACGTTAAAAAGTAATAAACCAATTTGTAAAACCGTGGTATAAACATTGATTCAGAAATTAATGTTTATACATAATAGTTGTGATCTCTTTCTTTACAACTTTGGCAGCTGTTTTACTTAAATGCATTTTGTAAAAAAATTACAATATATAAATATACAATTTATATTCAAAGTTCCTCTTCTTTCTTTGAAGTAACTTCCTGACGCTATTTTAAATGGATTGGATCGATTATGGTCACGTTAACAGAAATGCGAGTAAGAAAGCAATGTAATACGCGCCGTGTGTTTTATATAGTGAATGTACCACGTAGATCAATAATAACGGGAGGAAAGAACGGCGAGAAAGTCATCGAAAAGAAAAATAATAATCAACGCGTTCACTTATAAAATCGAAAGCAACGAACGCGGCATAGTGAGAACAATTTTGTAGTGTGAAAGTGTTTCAATTTTCAAATTATTAAGCTGCGAGGTACTATAAATCTCTATCGTACCTAACAGTAGGATGAGTTATTTACGATGTAAGAATGACTATCGTTTGTGTTAATTCATTTTGCAACTGAAAATTCTTCTCTAACATCAATGCCACCGCGCAATCAACGAGGTGAACGCTTCGATAATTTGTGGCCGTCTAAAATGCGTAAGAATCCAAAAGGTAAGTTTGGTGAACCAAGGACGAAATAATGTGAGCAATATAAAATATGTTACATAAATGTTCTTCCCGTTTTCTTCCTCATTCCATTGAATAATTTATTTCAAATTTGAAGTGTAGGTTCCAATGGAAAATCCGTACGAACTCAGGTAGCAATTAATGTCTAAAAGACATCATAAAGACATCTTTAAGATTTCTGACATCTTAAAGACATTTTTATGATGTCTTTGAGACATTAATGCTACCTGGGAATAAACCGAACTAACTAAGAACCAGCGCGGTAAATGATGCGCAAAAGTTTTATTTATATTTTTATATTTATTCTTACATATATTTTCCAACCTTTGACTGCGTGCCGACTAGATTTGTCAGACTTGAAACACAGCTTCGGTTGGAGTATAAGTAAAATCCCCCCCCTACACCTAATTAAATTGATTTGATTTAATTTTTGATGCTATATGCATCTAAATAACTATAAAAAAATTATTGCGAAAAATATGATCTCACCCAAGGTTCGACCCTGGAACTTCCTTCATTCCGTGAGGGTGACGCGGATCCACAAGTTACTACCTTTCTAATTCCACAGTCGTTTTTTGGTTGTAAATAAATCAATCTGCGCTTATAAGTTTTTGGAGGCGTTTCTTCAGGCACTTGACCTTTAAGCTGTCGATTTTTAGCAAAAATAAGTTAGAACTAAAATTTCTTTCGCTTATTGCATTATCGCCACATTATATGTACATCGTATATTCTGCGACGTGCAGAATATGCTTCAACCGCAGTGCGTCTAATTAGATCAAATTCAAAAAGCAAACAATGTCGTGAAGGTGAAAATCATCAACATGTATAGTTAAATGAATCTTTTCGAAGTTCAGAATATTGTGATTGATATCATGCGTATAATTGATTAATTATACTATTCAGTTATAATTAAAATGTCACAATTGTAATTATATGGATATCTGTATTTCTCTGTGGAAATACCAGTGTCCAATGTCTCAAGAAAATTCACTAAAGTACTTGTGATACTGATATCTTTCTGATTCGTAAAAGATATTGGATTTCTTCAAACTGACGAAGCGAATGTTGCACGGAACATTTGCTACGTCAACGCATTACTGCACCGTGTAAACTAAGAACTAAAACTCTGCTCAAATTACTCGAGAATTACAAATATTGCCGTTCAGCTAAAATAAAATCCATTTCGATGAAATAAAATGTTATTATCCTTTACCGGAGATTTATTAAAAATCTTGCCATTTTATATACATATAGGTTCTGAATGAAATTTATCTCGTAAAGCGTAACGCAATTTCCATACACTGCGCTGAAAGACTATTGACCTAAAATGATCTTTTTCTGATATTATTGTAAGAGGCTGCATCGCGACAGACAAGATGCATCCTATCTATGTAAGAGTCTTCTAACGGTACATAATCCACCTAATAATGTCCATTACATATCCCATTCTATTAATACTGGTTTTATATCAACAATTTTCAAGTAAACTTCCATCCCATCGAGGAAACAAAGTATATGTAATGGAAAATATTCAAAGAATTGTCTAGAAAAGAAATTGTATTTATAATTTTATTTCGTAGAAAATGTAAAGATGAAAAAAATACATGAACAACATTATTAAATATCATAAACATGTTTTTGAATTCATATATTCTGAATGTTAATTACACTAACATTGAGATATTGCATTTTTTTTATCACGTTAATACGTAATTCTTCCTGCATATAAATGAATCTGATGATATAACGCAATGCTACATTTTTTCTACGTTATAATTCAAGTTTAATAAGCGTAAATGCGTTATTATGTTTTACATTTTCCAAGTTATCTTTCTCGTGAAGAAAAAAGATTGTCTTCTACACTTTTGATTCTTACTTTTGCATGTTTAATTATTCTCAGTTGCATTATTTATTGGATTTATTAATACTCATCATATTAATTGATAGCATGAATTATCTTTACATCTAGAAATATCTATATCCTACTTTAAAGTCGTGAAGTAATTTTAACCAACTTTTCTGACGTATATTGTCCATATTTTCACAAATATTTACTACAATTTTAAAAACCGTAAACATTTCGTTAAAAACTGCATAAAGATGTATAATTTTATAAAAAGAAGTTACGTTTTTTCGACTCAATATGTAATATTCGAATTTTTTGTAACTATACGTATATAATTTACATAACTGAATATAAAACCAGTAAAAGTGAAACCTTTTTTGAAATTGAAAAATTGAAGTAATAATTTTGATAAAGTCAAAGATGGAATCAATATTTAGTATCTTTGTATTTGCAGGATTAGATCAATCATTTACGCGGAAAGACGTATGACGTTTTATTTGAATTACAAAATAGTGTTAATAACCTTACGTATACTACGTAAATTCTGCGTCTAGGGTGGGGAGATGATAATGATACACTTTAAGTCGCCACAGGTAGAGCCACGCCAGTCATCGCGTAGTCTTGGAGAATGTTAGATGTATCTTTTGAAAGTACCTCTCGATACCTAACTCCGTAAAGAACGTGTGTAATAACCACATAACCACTTCAAGATTTTGGACTTGTGACACATATAATACCTGATATACATTTCACGTTTTGTTTAGTATAAAAAAGTGCTATTGTTAATAAAAATTAAAATATTCCAATGCAACGTGATAAAACACAACATTGTTTCATTTTTCTGTTGTTTTCATGATTAATTGAATCAATTAAAGAGATTGGAAAAATATTTAATTTATAAATTACAAATTGTAATTAATAAATTGCTCGAAAAGGAAAAAGAAAATGTTTTACTTGCGAACTTGATTGGTGGTACATATCGTATAAATTTCTTAAACAAACGTAGAATGTTCATACACGGATGAAATAAAAAGAGACATCTATATTTTTTTTCTATTTTATATCAATTTTTAAGTGCAGAGAACGGAACGTCAAAGAGTGCTTTTTGAATAAAATCAAATCGGTAAGTTAAAACGTTATTGAACCATTGTGCATAATACTTGTTAATCCAGATTTACACATAAATTAATCAAATCGAATAGAATGTGTAAATATTTTTTAATTAAAAACGTACAGTATGATTAATCATGTGTTGCATGGTATGTGGGAACACCTATTTCAGCGCAATTTTTCTTTATGTATTTTATAATTCGTTTGTACGTATAACATATTTGGTACGTTATGTTCCTAAGACTTGTATATGTATATAATAATATAAATATGTAATTATTTTTCCGTTTTTTTTTTGGCTGCTATTGGTAATCATTCATTTATCATTTCTAAAATAAAATTTTATAATTAAGTGGAATATACGACCGTATTGTATAGACAATCAAATTAAGGAAAACGCTTTGGAATTAAACGATTAGGACCTAGATCTTGTTTGTCTAATAATATTATTCGCGTGAATTTATGTACATAATACATCGCTTCAGCAAACAACGCGCCGTTACTCTCGGAATTAAAATGTAATCTTAACTAAAGCTAGAACAATGCCGCATCACATAATTAAATTAATAGTCACTACACTTACACTAACACAAATTATTTAGCATATTAGAAAAGTACGGGATACATAGAATAGAAACATATCCCGTATAAAATTTCATTACAATTTGACACCTTGAAAGATTCACTTGTAAGAATTTTGAAAAATTACTTATTTTTAACTTATATTTGCGATATATTTATCTTTAAAATTCTTACATATAAAATTTTAAACAATAAATAAGCCATAGTTATTTTATTTTATTTAGCTGCTATAGTAAATATAGATTTTTGTTTATTAAATTTTAATTTCAGATTTGCAATTTTAGTAGTCTCTATACTAAAATTCAGAGAAATGTATTGAACAGAAAAATTTATGCAACAAAGGATTAATTAATTAAATGAATTTAAACCTTCTTTATTATCAATATGATTGATATATAATACAAATTATAAAGTGGCCGCAGGGGGAAGTGATCCGCGCAGTTCCTTGGGCTTAACGCACCTACGGCAATACCGAGTTCCCGACACCGCGGACATACACGAACAAATATACATACATTCATACACTTACACAGTTTCGAGTTCAAAGTTCTATGAGTTTACGAGTTTATATTACGCAGTTAACTTCTGTTTGGGACGCTTTTATTGAGGCGTTCATGTTAATCTAGTCGAAGTCTCTTTTGTTTTGATGTGATGCAATTAGATTCGGTTTTGCTACTATGACCACATGGGCTACCCCCACGGTCTTTCCTTTATTTGAATAAAAAAAAAAAAAAAAAAAAAAAATTATAAAGTATACACAGTATATAAAAAGTAATACGTAATTTTAACATTTTTTACATGTCCCAGAAAGTCCACTCTAAATTTTATGTTAAAATGACTCATTCATCGTGTGTTACTTGTTGACAAATTAAAAATGATAATTAATTGACACTATACTTTACATTTATATTTGTTCTTTTGACTTTATTTTTCAAGTTATATTAACATGATATTCCTTATTTTACAAATTTTACTTGAATTATGTGTAATAGAAACATTTAATTTTAGTAAATTCAATTATTTTGTGTGTAGAAGTTTACGATTATTTGAAAATTTACTTTAACTTTTGTTTATGTGTTATGCCGGGATTACGATGAACTTTACGTAACGGGACGCGACGGAACGCGACTGGACGCGACGAAACGCGACGGGACGTAACGAACTTAATGTGAACTTAAGAAATTACGATAACCTTCTATTCACACCAAGCTGTCAAATCATTTCTGAAATGCACGCTGCTTCACGTTACGATTTGACAGCTTGGTGTGAATAGAAGGTTATCGTAATTTCTTAAGTTCACATTAAGTTCGTTACGTCCCGTCGCGTTTCGTCGCGTCCAGTCGCGTTCCGTCGCGTCTCGTTACGTAAAGTTCATCGTAATCCCGGCATTAAAATTACTTTAAGGACCGGTTGTTCCAACCTCTTAGTAAACTACCTAATAGTTAAATCATACATATGTCTTTGTTTATCCTTTACATTAGACAAAGATAGACATATGATTTAACTATTAGTTAGCTTACCAACAGGTTGGAACAACCGACTCTAAGACGTGTTAATTTTTTAAAGTAATATTGTGTTAAAAGAACTCAAAATAATATTCAATTTCTAAATGACATATATGTATAAAGTGTTGTTATCACGTTGACATAAATGTAACACATGAAAATGTTAAGAAAATAATAACATAGCTGTCGTATGTTAATTTTACATTGAAATAATAATCAAATCTTGATAACACAAGAAAATGTTGACTTCTAGACCATTATGTACACACGATTTTTTACTGTGTAAAACTTCATAAACATAATTCGTTGTAAAAAAAAAGATAAGTAATTAAATGCACGTGTAACAATGTGTAGCCGGTTTGATTTTCTCATGAATTTTTTTTATTTCGCATTTCCTGTATAAAATGATACCCGTATTAAATAGATTAAATCAAATTGTAAAATTCCATGCAATAAATAACGTGAATGACAATTCATATTATGAAATAATCGAAATTTAAAAATCACGCGGAATAAATTAAATAATCATTTAATTTTATTTTTAATTAAATTGTAATTTTTGAGAAACCCTTGCGTGGAAAATTAAGAGAGTAATATTAAATATAATATTTTCTTAGAATTCAGTCAGTACATTTGTTTTGCGTGAGTATTCCATCAGATATGTGACTTCTTTATAATTATCGATAATTACCAATAATTTAAATAAATTTACATTTCAACTTGTA